TCTAAAGGCTGACGCAGAGCCTGGGTAGCAAACCAACACACTTTCGCAGGGCTGAGCGCACAGGACGAGGATCAGCCCGTCGCCCCGATCCTCGAGGGGGCACAGGCCCTTGGTCGATTGGCCGCGCACCTCTCCATACGTCGACGTCGATAAAACTTTGCATTCAAGGGGCACGACTGCATCTCTCCCCTCGGCCGCTCTCCCTACTGTGTAAGAGAAACTGGTTACTGGCAAGCTGGATGATGGAGAGGGGCAACCGGCCGACTATCCATCGCTAGCCTGCCACCGACCCGGAGACAGTTTCTCTTGGAACCCCAGGATTGAGCGCTGCCTTTCTTCCCCCCCAAAACCAACCCCCGCTCCCGGTGGCGATATTGTACTGGTAGAACGCCGCTGAGATTTTCGGAACGACAAGACTTGTCTAAATTATCCGCAGTTCATAGAGCAAGATTCGGCTTCCCGGTGTCGAGCTGCCGAAGCAATGGCTTACTGTTCTTTGAAAAGACAGCTTGGATTGGATCCCAAACTTCCGTGCTCGTGGCTCAAAAAACAGGCCCGTCTGGTACCGCACATAGCACATTCACTCATTTACCCTCCCCCTCATATTCTCTACTCAGACTCTGGCCATTACACACCAATAGCAAGCAAAAGGCCCGAGCGTGTCCACTTGATTCCCTACGCAGGCAAGCATTCGCTGGCCGCTGCCGGCCCCTTCGGCCAACTAATAGTAGCTGCTACCTACCTGGTAAGACAAGTCCATGGCTACGACGAGCGGCGACCCTGCGCCTGCCACTGGCGCCTCCAACGATCGCCATATGTGCGATTCAGGTTTTGGATATAGCCGCACTTGCTTGAATCTATGTAAGAGATCAAGCTAGAGGACGCCTACTCTTACTACTCCAGCACACACACAGGATTGCCCATGCAGGCACGCCATCCCTCCTGCGGCCTCCGAATCCTGTCGGACGATCCATCCGAATACTGTGTGTACGATCCATCCGAATACTGTGTGTACGAGAGGAACTCCATCAGTCTTTGCTTGCCTTTTTTTTTGCTACCGTTCTATCGCCACGTCCAAGCCTATGTTTGTCGACTTGTATCCATCTACGCATTGAACTGTAGGCAACAAATTGCATAGATCAGTGGTAGATTGGCAATGGGAGGCAAGACAAAAACTTCATGCTTGCATACATGTTCTCATACAAGTGATGTCCAAAGTCCACGATAGCCCCATTAGCAATAAGATTCCACACAATTCAATAATGTCTACAGAATTGCCTATATCTCTTGTCTGCACGAAGCTTACTACGTCCTCTCAAGTCTGTTGCCGTAGCTGCGCAGCAAAAGGTCTCATGCGATGCCTAGATATGAAGTGACATCTACCAAGGGATCACATAGTGCTGAGTGCTGCCGACGGCCCGCCATCTGTCGACTGTTGCTGCAGCATCTATCAATCAATCAGACTTCACCCATTTGCCCATAGCAAAGCGCATCTTTCAGGCGCTGCCAACCTCTCCTCTCCACGGTTTGCACTACCATGGTCCATGGTTCACTCGAGGCTCAGGCAACCAGACCCGCTCTCTGTTCATAGAAACTAGCTCTATTCATCCAAGTCACATAGTTTTCCCTCTTGACGGAGCCAAAAGTACTCCATCTCCCCTGCTTGGTCCCATGAATACAGTACGCTCGATTCTTCCTCGTCCAAATCAAGCCCACGTCCCTGAGTACCTTGCAAGAGTTGCAAGACCTCGTACGACGTCAAAAGGGCGCCCCCCTCCGTATGTCATCCATTATCCATGCAGCAGTGCAGCCTGCCGAACGACTCGAGCTGGTTTTCCAGTGCTACGGTACATGGGGACAATGACTGCAGATGGCTCATGCCGATCTTCCCAGTAGAGCTTGGCTACTAGTAGTTCCAGGCGTCCTGCACGTTGCAATCATTCCATTCCATGCCATGTGAGCCCCATGCTGCGAAGCACAGTGACCCATTTGCCATACCATGGTATAATTCCCTATATGCCATACGTTCTTGGAACCGTTCCCAAGACATCTCTGCAACATAGGACGGACAGCAATCGTGTGTACGGTATACTAAACGTGACTTGTCACTCTTGTTGTTTGACAATCGCAGTGTATGCCCAAGAAAGATACCGTATCCAGATGACCGGCACCGGTATGTTGCTAGCCACTCACACTGCCGATTCGAGGTTTGCCAGACCTGCACGGTCTCAGAGGCCGTCGAGACGAGATCTTGCAATCGACGATGGCACTTGTGGTTGCTCCGTTACCTTTGACCGATGATATGGTCCATATACGTACAGATGGCGCTCTACACAAGGTGCTTGTGCTTGAACCCTTGCAACATCGTCCGACCAGAGGCCAACCAATCTACCTACCCGCCGCCCCATCAACCATCGCAATCGACCCAGAGCCACCACACCCTCTCTCACTTGTGTGCGGCACCGTTGGACGCGATGATGACATCAAACTGCGTATTGTTCCTATGGAGAGGAAGGCCCCGCCCCTTCGCAAAAAGACAAGCCGTTCTGGCACGGTTATGCACATTACAGTCGCAATCGTTCGCTTACCGTACCCTCCCTTCAGCAAGCCCCCCCCCCCACCACTCAGCCGGCAACCCAGGGCACCACCTCTCGAACGGCACAAACCCCTCAACTGCAACATGCACCATGCACCCAAGCCTCGCCTGCACCTACACTCCGAGAGTGTGTCGCTTTACCCTGCCTGTTCGTTTTTTTCTCTCTCGCTGGCCTTGCCCGTTCCCATCCTACCAGTCCGTTTACGATTGAATGTCTTGTCTAGAACAAGCATAGAAGACGGCGTGAATGCTCTCAACGGCATCACGATACGAACCCAGCCGGCCCAGGTGGTCCTATAAGTGGCTCTGATATAAGCTCTAAAAGCGTACTCGGCACGGAACCGGAGAGCGTGATCCTTTTCAATCCCATCATCTTGTTGCGGTTGCGTCTCCTCGCTGGATCATGGCTGGTGTTGGCGGGGAAGGGGGGGGATCAAAATGCATCTTTTTGTGTGTCAGCAACTACTATCCAAGTGTTGCAAGCATACAGGCTGCGCCTCTTCGGTTGCTTGCTGCTCTGGACCATATTGAAGTGTGTCTAGTGTTTGCAAAAGGTCTTGCCGCTACGCCGCGTACTGCAGTCCACCAACAGAGTGCGCTGCCAACTATTTCGACGTGGCTTTGGCACAGCATACCGACAACACAAATGACGCGACTAATGTGTCTCCACTTCTTAGCTTCCATCTGCATCATGCTTCCGCGCATTACCGCAGTACAGTAATGTACATACTGCGGCATGTACATACACAGTACACGGCAGCAGTTTTCTGACGCATGCCAATTCAGCAGCCTACCGCTTACGAGCAGCCGCAAGATCTTGGAAGATGCACGTCTGCACACGTATGGCAACGACTCCCGCCAACGCACCATACCATGTGTCCGAAACTTCATTGATTTACTATCTTCATTCCGGCGCTTCTCTCACTACCGCTTACATACCGATACCTCCTCTTGCTCTCGCCTCGTCATGTTACTTCAACTCTAGATCCGCTTTTACATTCGCGGATCTCGAACCTACATAGCGAGCGGCTATTCTGCAAGGTCCTTCAACTGTATAGCAATAAGCTTTGTAGCCAAGCCATCGTCCATGCTCCACGGTCATGCTTCCGCCTGTCTCAAATGGGAGCTACCGAAGCGGAACAGATCCGGCCCCTTGCAAACAAATAGCGGCGGATGCTGTTGGATTTGGACGGAAATTTATTGACGGCTCTATATCTATGCATCCCGGATTCCAGAAACCGCAGTGGCACTTGGGCAGCCCGTGGCTGGACTCTCACGAAACTCTTTCGGACTTGACCGATACCTCATTCAGATACAAGCGAGTGCGATGACAGCCGTAGAGATACCGAGGTGTTGCCGTGTGGGTGAACAAGTCCAAGATTGGCCACTGCTGACGAGGTGGTATGTGGCTGCAGATGCAGGCTTGCAAAATCTGCTGTGCGGCTTGGTAGGTACGAAAGTGGTCCTAAGTCGAACGTGAGAAAGCCAAAAGACATTAAAGTCCTTTTAACTTTGCACTCGAACTAGCCGCCCGGGGGATCTACCTAACCTACCTTGATGCCGGCATACATAGACTAGCTGCGTGGGACACGGCAGCGAAACACAGAGGGTTGCTGTCACGGTCGCCTGTCATTTGAATGGGATATTACAGTACATGCAAACCTACGGGCGGTCTTGGTATAGATTGTCTGGATAGACAAGAAGGGATACCTATGAAACACATGGTGATTTACTGCACTAGTTTACCAAGTCACTGGAAACTCTCTAATCATCAATGGGGGATTGTCGGCCAAAAGAGATTGGTATTTCATTGCCGTTGATGTAATTTGTCTCAAGATTTACAATCAATGTCGCTCTAATGAGGTGTAGAGGCGTTTATGCACACCAGCACAGTGCACATTAGAGCAGATGTCATTTCCTTGCTGGTAGAGTATGCACGGATCATGTTTATTGTTTTGCTAAATTGCTACCTCATCCAGCCATGACATGGCTATACGTTTGATTAGAAGTATGTCTAATAATGCGTAGTTCAGTAGAACATTGCAGCATTTGTAGAGCTGTTCAAGTAAGACAATATTTCACGGTCTGGTCATACAAATATCGTGCAATCTCCGAATTGGCCGCTGTGAGTGACAGTGATATCTTCTCCATCCTTGAGACTAGCGTGAATCTGTGAAGTGAAAGTGATATGAAATGTAGACCAGCGTGAATCGATGAAGTGAAAGTGGATATAAAGTGTTGCGAATCCAAGGTGACAGACACAATGGCGTCAGTCTTACTGGATTAGGAAGAAACCCGAGGTGGTCCGCCACACGACAGCTGAATAGCTACTTACTCGACGTGTCTGTCGCGAACCACCGCACCGAATCCCAATATACGCTCTTCTTTTCGATTTTCTTGTCGCTGAGGCGGCGCAAGAGAGTCACCCAGAGCACTGAAGATGTTCTCCTTACCCATGATTGCACCACGGCCCGTAAGTATACCAGCTTGAATCCTATGAAGGGACGCATCATTTGTACCTCGCCCAACGAAGCATAATAACGGAAATCACCAGGATGCCAGTTTGTGGCCCTCGCATCGTACCGCACATACAGCCTTTGATGATTCGTCTTCGCAATCCCCGCCCAACGCAAATTCAAACTCCCAGCGCCGTCCCACTTCCCGTCATGGCCCGCATCACAGCCACGCTCGCGCCGCAACAGCCTTCCTCGCCGCCCTCACAAACGACGAAAACATGATTGAGCAACGCAAGCAGAATGTTCGTCGCTTCGGCGCCGGCTGGTTGCGCCCACCAGGTGTTGCCAAGACATTGCAGGCCATGAGGGATGAAGAGCTGGAGAAGGAAGAGCAGGAGATGATGCAGCGTCGCGAACAAGTCATGATGGATCTCTCTGCCGCCCAACAAGAAGCCGCCAATGCAGAGCAGCGCGCACAAGGAGAGCAGATGGAAGGCCAGGCCGACGAGGAGCGCGATCTCGACGATGAGGTTCCCGAAGCAGAGGCCAGCAATAGCGACCTCTCGCGCTCCGACTCCGACTCGGATGTTAGTGAAGACGAGAGCGGCAGTGAAGAGGGGCAAAATACAACAATGGCCTTCAACGAGGACTCGTTCATCGAGGGCAGCATGATGGAGGCAGAAGTCTCGCACATGCTGGAAATGCAAGAAGCAGAAATGGCAGGCGTGCTGCAGGACGAACGCGATCTAGACGACGATATCCCCGAAGCCGGAAGTTATGAACATACCGACTCTGAGCTCGACGACTCTAGCGATGTGGATCGTAGCATGGCATTGCCTCCACCCATGGGTTCGGTCCAGTCCAGACGCTCGGTTAGACGTGTCAGTGGTAGACGCAGCTCTGGACGCAGGAGCTCAGGGTTACCAAGCAGCAGCTTCCAGGCTGGTGGCGTGGATGCTACGGCTGGTCGGGTCAGCTTGGGAGTCGACCTAGGTCAGGGCAGGAGTAGTTTCGGTATGGATGGTAGTAGCTCGTTCTTGGATGGCAGTTCCTTTTTAAGGAGCTCGCCTGTTGGTGCGGCGGCTACAAACAGAGGTACGCTGCGAGATAGGTTCTTGGGAGCTGCGAGGGGTGGGAGGAGGGCTTGATGGTGTACGATTGTGCTGGTGCGAGTGAGCACATGATATGATACCCCCCAGAAGTAGATGATTACGATTTTGACGAGTGGCGAGTGCACGGTACGATATCGGACTACCTGCGAAGAGGTAGAATGGTATGGCGGCAGTATAGATGTCGTGAGTACTGCCTCGTCGCACAAGATGCAGAAGAGCACACAATACAAAGTCCCAAGACGCAAATCAAACCCAACATCATGTCTCTGAGTACGCATAAGATAATCCAAATGGTCTTCTATAGAAAAACAACACAACCTCACGACGACACAAACAAACCACCCATCCCTCCACCCCAACCATCACAATCTCCCACCCAATAACACCCCATCCAAACCACCCTCCCCAAAAACCCTCTCCAAAAACCGCCCCGCCTCCCCATAAACCCGTCCCCACTCTTCCCTCTCCCCATCCCCCAACCCCAAAACAACCCTAACCATACTCTTCCACCCCTCGACCCCCCGCCTCCCACACCCCAACCAAAACAGCTCCAACCGCGGCTCAACACCAGCCGTCGCATCCACACCGCCCCCCCAACACGCGCCCGCCCGCGTCCAGCCGCGCAACTGCATCCAGCGCTGCTGCCACTCTGCATCTGAGACGCAGGACATGAGATGGAGACTGCGGTGGAGGCTGAGCAGGTTGTTCGAGGGCAGGAAGGGTAGGGTATTCAAGATGGTGTGTTTATCGAGGGTGTGGCGGAGGAGGAGCGGGTTGTTGTGTAGGAGGGTGAGGGCGAGGGCGCGGGTTGCGGATGTAGGGGTTGGGTGTGGGCCTGAGTCTGCGATGAAGAGGGGAGGAAAGGATGCTGG